ATCTTTATCCTCATTTGCTTATTGCCTGATATCTTTTACTGTAGCCTTTCTGAGTTTTAGACACAATATGTCCCTTGTATGCAGCAAGTAGTTGGATCTTGCTTTTGAGCCAAATTGGAAAACTTGCTAGTTTAGTAAATGAGTTAAGCTTATTATATTTGATCTTGATGCCTTTACTTTTTGCAATTTTTGTTATATTTTATTTCATTCCTTTCTATAGTGAAATTGCCTTGTAATCTTCATGTGGTTAACATTTAATCTTCATCTTCATAATTTAAAGTAACAAAGTATATTTTAGTTTAATTTTTTGGTAGAAATGGAAAGTAAAAGAAGGTGGGGAGTGAAACTGCTCTGCCCAGTGGGAGCTCAGAGAAGATTCTGGGCAAGGTTATCTTTTTGTGCTTCTGATCTTGTTTTATAGATACAATTATCATATTGATATGTGGATGTTTTTACATAGCTGTCAGCATTGTTTATTAAGCTGCTTAGGTGTTGATTACGTAGGAGAAGTGCCCCGCAAAGCCCACCTTGTTCATATTCTTCATAACATTTTACTTTAGAAATGTTTTGTCATCTTGGATATCGTTCACTCTTCCTGAAATATCCGGGCAGTTTTTATTCAATTATTATAGTTTTATTTCCAGAAGTTCCATGTGATTTTATTTCAAAAGTGCATAGTAATAAGCATTGATAGTCTGTTTTTTCTTGTTTTCATTCTCTATTTTAATTAAAAATAAACTTAGTAGTTAAGATCTTACATTTTATAAAATTTACATATATTGTATCTTTCAACTTATGATTGTTCTAATTTTTCCTATCAGTTTTAGTTTCTTGCTTTCCTCTATATTTTTAAATTAGTGCTTATACAGGGTCATGGTTTCATCTTGTTATCTCGATCTATGTGTATAACATGCTTTGGTCATTTTTCCTCTCCCATTGCTCCCCTTCTCCCTTTTCTTCCTCTATCACCCACCTATTTCCTCCTCTTTAAGAATGTCTTTTGACTTTTCTGCCACCACTACTTCTTCCTCTCCTTCTCCTCTTCCTCCTTTTTCCTTCTCTTCTTCTATTTTTCATGTAAAAGAACACACAGTATTTAACTTTCTGAGTCGGGCTTATTCACTGAACATGATGGCCTCTGGTCCCATCCATTTTCCCGTAAATGACATGACACCATTCTTCTTTATGGCTGAGTAATACTCCACCATGTATATATGCTATATTTTTATCCATTCATCTGTTGATGGGCATCAAAACTGTTTCCACTCTAACTGTTGTGAATTGTGTTGAAATGAATATGGGTATGCAGGTATTCCTGTATTATGCTGTCTTTAATTCTTTGGGAATGTACCCAGAAGTGGTATAGCTGGATCAAATAATGTCTCTATTTTAGTCTTTTGAGGAGACTTTTCACTGATTTTTGTAGTGGTTGTACTAACTTACATTCTTATCAACAGTGTGAATGCATTCCTTTTCCTATATTCTCAACAGCATTTACTGTTTTGTTTTTGTTTCTGATTTTTTATTCTTAATGATAGCCATCTGACCAGGTTGAGTGAAAATCTTTGCAGTTTTGATTTGTAATCCTGAAGTGGCTACATGTCTTGGTTACTTTTCTCATTGCTAAGACAAAATACCCAACACCCAAAGTTAAAGGAAGAAAGGTTTATTCAGCTCATAGTCGTAGAGGTCTCAGTCCATGCATAGGCAGCTGGCTCCAAGGCAGGGTTGTGTGGCAGAGGAGAAACAGTTCATGGCAGACAGCAAGCAAAAGGCAGCAAGACACAAGAACGTGACAAGCAACAAGCCCTGACCACAGCTCTTTCTGCCCCTTTGTCTCCCCCAGGCTACCTGCCCGTACGGTGGCTGTGCTCACACCCTTAATTCTAGCATCACACCGTGAATCAATCCCAGCTCACATCCTGATCCCAGCAGCACAAACCCTAGAGCTGGCCACCTCCAAAAAGCCCCACCTATGACCACATGAAGCTTTGGGGGACATCTAGATTCCAGCCATGACACTAAAGACGGTGGACATTTTTTCGTATACTTAGTGGCCATTTTTACTTCTTTTGGGAAGTGTCTATTTGATTCATTTGCCCATTTACTGATTGGTTTCTTTGGTGTCATGTTTTTTGAATTGTTTATATGTTCTAGATATTAATCCTTTGTGAGAGAGTAGCTGGCAAAGATATTCTTCCATTCTATAGTCTGTTCGTTTCCCTTTGTTGACTGTTTCCTTTGCTGCACAGAAGTCACTTTTATGCTTAGATAACAGCCACCTTTTTGATGACAGTTTTAGAGTTGTTCTATGCTTCCTTCTTTCCTCTCTTCTCCTTATCATTTTTTGTGAATTTATAACTGTGTCCCCTTGCTCAGGACAGAGGTGGGTAAAGAATAAGTGATTGCCTCCTGGGATTCAGTGTATTTTCTCTTCATACTTTATCTACAGTTATTTTAAAGTTTGGGTATTCTCTGTTTTTTTGGTTAAGCAGAAGGCATGCTTTTTGCACCATAGTTTGATTTGTTCTTATTGTTCTAGTTGTGTTTGGAGGATGTGTGGAGAGATGTTGACCTAAATAGTCATTCTTGTATTTGGCTCTCTGGATCTCTTTCTTTCTTCTTCCTTCCAGTGCTTGGGATTGAACCCAGATCTTCAAGCATGCTAGGTGAGAGGTACACTGAGCTGTAACCCAGCTCCTGGATATCTGTGTGGATATTTGAATGGTGGTCTCTCAGTTCTCTTCAGTGTCTGGTATCCATCACATTTTGACACTCAGCCAAAAGTTTTGATAGAATATTCTGTCAGCGATTTTCTATTGTCATTTAGAAAGATAGTGAGTAGGAAGACATAGAGGAAAGGAGAGATAAGATAAAATAATGTCAGGAGATGTTTATGAGTGGTATACTTTACTCTGTGATAATATTTTATTATGTGATTCTTGTGTATAAATTTTAAAATTGGTTCAGTTAAGTTTTTACATATCTTGGGCATGGGCATGCGTTAATATATATGCCGCTCATTAAAATTGACCAGTAAACTAGATCACAATGTGATGACTCGTTAGGCAGTAACTCAGTATTACAGGCACAAAGGAGACTCAGGTTCTAGTACACCTGAAGCACAGAAATTCTATCACAAAAAATTATTAAATGCCTGTTGTGGATTTAGTTTATTCTTAAGATTTATAGATCTATTTATTAAATGTACACATGCGTGTAATACACTATTAGGTAGGCTTTTACTTTTTATTACTGCTAATTTTCACAATAATCCCCAAAGGTGGCTGCCATAATCCTGTTATGCAGAAGAGCTAGGAGAAGATGATCGAAGTTTGTTAATTTATCCAAGGTCAAAGGGGGAGCAAGTGGGAGAGTAGAATTCACATCTGAGCCTCTGGGGCTCTGAAGTATACATTCCATGCTCACAGTTGACCTGATGGTGGGCAGAACCACTTTCATTAGCTTTGTAAGTGTGAGCTAAACCATTTCTTTGGCTTGCCATTGATCACATTCTTAAGGTAGTTGAGGTTGACTCATTTGTTAACTTGAAAATATTAACAGCTAAAGTATTGAGGATTGTGTTAGTCTTCAACAAAGTACCTGAGATAATCAGTTTAAAAAGAGGAAAGATTTATTTTGGCTCACAGATTTCAGTCCACAGTTGGTTGGTCCTATTGCTTTTGGGCCTGTGGCGAAACAGAATATGGCTGGAGCATGTGTTGGAAGAGGCTGTTTGCTTTATGGAAGCCAGGAAGCAAAGAGAGAGGAAAGGACCCATGTCCCAGTATCACCTCAAGGCCATGCCCCAAATGACCTATTTACTCCCACCAGGCCCCACCTTTTAAAGGTTCCGCCACCTGTCAATGGCACCACAGACCAGGGACCAAGCTTTCAACACATGGTCTTTGGGAGACACTTATCCCAACCATAAATGGAATCATGTGCAGCAACTGCCAGCAGGCCAGAAACATTCAGTCCTGTCACTTAGAAATGACCAAATGCTCAAGGAACTGGGGGCTTTGGAGTGGAAGAACTTTTGGCGAGGCCACTCAGCATTGAGGAAGGGTGCATCCGTACGTGCGACCTGTCTGTGGCTGTGCTACCTGGACAGTTTCCATGTAGGCACAGGAGTCCCAGGCCTAGCAAGGAGGGAAGGACACTGGTGTGGCCTCTGCTCCGCTGAGTCTGCTGCTTGGTTCTTGGGCTTTTGTTTTCCTGCCCCCGCAGACGTCATTGTAGTTTGTCTGGGAAGCTTGTCTCCAACTCCACAGAGGTCCAAGGTTAGCTTTCGAGTTATTGGTGGCAGTGGTACCTTCAAAGTGGGAAATTTTACCTGATCATCTTGTATAGCTACAAAATGATTAGTATTCACAAGTGGTGCTTTCAGAGAAACCTTGAGAATTTGTTAATCGTGTGACTGAGTGAGGGTCAAATGTGGGAAGCTCTGAGACCCAACCATTTGTCTTGGCACAGGAAGTATTTATCTTGTGCAATCTCTTAAGGGACTAAGTCCACACAGCCCCCGCACCATTAGTCACTTGGCCGCTGAATGGACACACATGTTGTTAGGTGAGTTTTCTTCACAATGAGATCATAAGTTCATAACCTGCTTAGCTCCTCATGATTTCCACGAGTCATAGCACCCCTGGAACTTAGCTTTGTTTCCTGGGCCAAAGCATCCCCAATGGAGTGGATCATTCACTTTTGCATATGCACATTTTTTTGAAGTGTGGTTCTACAACTTGCCACGTTTCTATGGAATAGTTTTCCTTCTAAACCTTCTCCAGGAAAACATTTAATGGCCACGTGTTGCTCACTTAGCCCTCTCTACCTCGCAGTCTAATTTGTAATGAGGAAGGGATTAGGCTCTAGGACCTCCAGGGGCTTGTGCAGGCCAGGCTGTAGCGGTTGGGGCACAGGCTGGTCACTGCGCTCTCCGCGTGATGCAGGATGGAGTTGCGGACAATATCACCTCCGCCCTGCTGTTCCCCATCCAGGTGTGTGCACGGGCAGCTCCACTCGGCACATCGTGACCTTCGATGGGCAGAACTTCAGGCTGACGGGCAGCTGTTCCTATGTCCTGTTTCAAAACAAAGAGCAAGATCTGGAGGTGATTCTGCACAACAGTGCTTGCGGCCCTGGGTCGACACCAACCTGCATGAAGTCCATTGAAGTGAAGCACGGCGGCCTCTCAGTGGAGCTGCACAGCGACATGGAGGTGAGAGGTGCTTCCCTAGGCTCCCTGGGCTGTGACTCGTCAGCGAAGCCACACGGAGCTGGTGGCCACCGGTTTCAGCTGCTGCTGCTGTTAGGGACTCAGTCTTCTGCCTGCTTGTGGAGCGCCACCTTCTTTTGAGAGGTTTATTGCTGTTCCCTCGTCTTGGCTTCATTTCCTGTTGTTCTGGGCTCAGATTTGGAAGAGTGAGTCAATTTTAGATAGCATTAAATTATGAATTTAGTGCCAGTTTCTGGCATTGGTAGGGAACTGGGGCTGGCACCACGGGCTGCTTCCTGGTAGGCATTATGAGCCCAGTGCTTGAGGCCTGTGAGCTTTCCAAAGGGAAATATTTAGGCCCTAAATCAGGGCCTTTGAAAATATTTAGGGTCTCAACAAAATGTATGGCTCCAAAGTTTGAAAAGGAAACTGCCAAAGTGATATAAATAAATGTTTGATTAAATGTTTACAAAAGGTTACATTATGCCAACTTCTATACTTGTTCATTTAGAAATCATAAATATTTCATTGCATGAAAACAACTTGTAGGCGAGATTTTCTCACTTTACAAGAATTCCTGAATATGAACAATAATTGCTGAAAAACTATAGCTAGTCACACAGTAAATGAGTAACTCATAGCCAAAATATTAAAATCAAAGTGATAAAAAACCCTTCCAAAATTCGGACAGCAAAACTTACAGTCATCACAGGATGTGAGCACATTTAAATATGCTCAATATGATACATGGCCGGGCCTCGGAAGAAAGAGTTTCTAGGAAGACACACGTGCAAACAGGAAGAACTGAAGGGGTCCTGCTTGATGCTCCCAGGGACCCTTCCTGATGAGACCGCAAAATGGCAACTTTCCCAGCCTGTCCTGAAGGGGGCGCCCTTCCCCTTCGAGTCACACAGATTCCAGGTTCCTGAACCCCTGGGCTGCCGAGCTCCAGGTGCATGGCTGTCTACACAGTCTTCTGCCAATCTGTTCTGTCAAGCTCTCCTGTGAAGCCCCTTTATTTTTAGAAGAGCTGCTGACAAGCATCGGGGCTCGTGGTTGAATATGAAGAATGTACAGACAGTCAGATCTTCCACAAGAGGCTGAGAGCGAAGTTCCAGGACTCTTAATTTCTAGCCCTGCTTTTTCTTTTTGGACAGGTGGCAGTGAATGGGAGACTGGTCCCTGTCCCATACATGGGCGGGAACATGGAAGTCAGCGTCTACGGCACCATCATGTATGAGGCCAGGTTCAACCATCTTGGCCACATCTTCACATTCACACCACAAAACAATGAGTTCCAACTTCAGCTCAGCCCCAAGACCTTTGCTTCAAAGATGTATGGTCTCTGTGGTAAGAGCACTGTCTCCACTCTTGCCATCCCCACTTGTAAATTGTGCTGTGGAGTCTCAGGAGTCTTGGGTGGTGTATTTCTGGGCCTGGTAGCAAGGTATAGACCTGGGTGGGGATGAAGACGGGTCAACTGTTGGGCACCAGTGGTTGGCACTTAGGGTGCCAGCTGAGACTTTCCTTGTGTCTCTAGGGATCTGTGATGAGAATGGGGCCAATGACTTCATGCTGAGGAATGGCTCAGTCACCACTGACTGGAAAACGCTCATCCAGGAATGGACGGTGCAGCGGCCAGGCCAGATCTGCCAGCCAGTGCCTGAGGAGCTGTGTCCTGTCTCTGGCAGCTCCCACTGCCAGGTGCTCCTCTCGGCAGTATTTTCTGAGTGCCACAAGGTTCTTTCTCCGGCCACATTTTATGCCATCTGCCAGCAGGATGGTTGTCAGCAGGAGCGAGCGTGTGAGGTGATTGCCTCCTATGCCCACCTCTGTCGGACCAATGGTGTTTGTGTTGACTGGAGGACGGCTGAGTTCTGTGGTAGGTCCCCACGCATGTTCCTGAAGTCCTGCAGACCAACTAACTGTGGGCTCACTCAACCTCCATTCTCTATCTGCCTAATGAAGACTAACATCCTTATATTCCTATAACCTATGATTCTTGTTAGGACCTAATAAGATGGTAGATATATAAATACTTTGACCATATTTCTATGTAAATCAAAGCACAACCCATTTCTATACAAACGTAAATTTAATGTATTAGGCATATGGGCATCAGCAAAGTTCTGTGTAACCCGTCACACTGAATTTGCAGTTCTGCCAAGCTGTAGCCAAAGCTCACAGGGTAGGCTGTGCCCGGGCAGGATTTCAAAGTGCAAGTGGAATTTTGCCCTTAGATTACAAGAATTTGTTTGTATCAGTCAGTTTCCCATTGCTGGAACAAAATATTCAACAATTTAAAGGAGGAGAGGCTTATGGGCCCACGGCTTCAGTGGGTTCAGTCCACAGTCGGCGGGCTCCAAGGCAGCCCCAGCATGGTGGGAGGGCCTGGAGGAGGAGGGCTGCTCACCCCACGGCAGTCAGGCATTGCAAACACAAGGGAGGAGCTGGGAACAATACACCCTTCCCGGTCATACCCCTCGTCCTAATAGCGCACTCAGCTTTGAGCTCCACTGATGAGCACAGCCCGCCCCCCACAATCCACTCACCTTCCAAACCCCACCTCTGAACACATGAGACTTTGGGGGGCGTTTTAGATCTAAATCATCACACTACTCAATTATAAATACCCCGGGATCGCTAGTGTTGATGTTGCTCCCTTAAAGTAAGCATTTGAACTGAGAGGTGACAGTTATTTATTATTTAAAATGTGGAGAATATCAAACCGAGTCACATTCGGGTCCTACATTCAAAGGAGCTGGAGTGACAAGATCTTGAGCAGCCTCATTCTACAGCAAATATAATTGCGGACTTTTTTTGTGGTACTGAGGATTGAACCTAGGGCCTTCAGACTGAGCTACATTTCCCCGCCACCCACCTTTTTAAAGTTTTAAATAAAAATTTGTCTATGGAGACAGGGTCTTGCTAAAGTAGCTCAGGGTGAGCTTGAACTCGTGATCCTCCTGCCTTGGCTGGATGCGAGGGGATTAAAGGAGTGAGGAGTGTGGGGATTAAAGGTATGAGCCATCTGTTCAGCTAACTGCTGACTTTTTTTTGATGGACATCAGTGTGTACAAGTGTGCTGGAGTCTCCAGTTCATTATCACAGTTTCAGCAGCTCTAACCCAAGTCTGGAGGCTCAGCTGGCTGAGACTGGCTGCTGTCTTGGTCCTCCTGCCCACAGTTTCTGCACTGTAGAACAAGAGCATCGCACAGAGTGCCCCTGGGTTCCTCTGAGCTCTGATTCTGAGTCTGGTGGATGCTTCTCTCTCCTCCAACCCACTGGAGACCCAGGGGCCTGTATCATTGTCTGAGCTACGGCCCTGATTTCCTGTGTACATCCTGGCTATTTCCTGTGCAAACAGAGAAGATACCCTGTGCTTCAAATCCTTAGAAACTTTCTTTTCTACCATGAGCATGTGAGGAAGTTGCCACGCAGGGTCCGAATGGAGAAGTGAATCCCTTTGTAGCCTCTCTCCTGAGGCAAGTCTTCCTCACTGTGGATTCTTAAATACTTAAGTTTAAGATGATTTGAAAGCATCAATACATCTGTGCTCCAAAGAGAAACACAACAACCTGAGAAGGACACATGGGGTCCTGAAACTGGTGATGACCACAATTCTCTGCTGGGCAGAGGAGCAGAGGGAGGAGGGTTAGCTGGCTCTGGCCTCACCTGGATGGAGTCCTTTTACTCATGGTTTAGGACAGACCTCTGGATATCAAATGCATGTTCCAGGCAGCAGCTGGGGAAGGAAGGACAGGGGACAAAGGACTCATCTTCAGCAAATGACTTTGGAGGCTGTCAAAGGATATTACACTTCCTCTCACAGTTCATTGGCCAGAACTCAGTTATGTGACCATGCTCAGGTGTAAAAGGGGTTAGAAAATGTGGCCCTTATCTGGTGCTGTGTGCCCAGCTGTGGGCTCCATTTCTGTGAAGATGAGGAGGATGACGGTGGAAAGATGGCTATCTCTGCCCTAGCCAATGTCCCATGATCCACCGTCCTGCGTCAGCCGCGCTCCTATTCCCCTCCTTCCGTCCACAGCAATGTCCTGCCCGCCGTTCCTGGTGTACAGCCACTGCGAGCGTGGCTGTCCCCGGCAGTGTGACGGCAACACCACCTCCTGTGGGGGGCACCCCTCTGAAGGTTGCTTCTGCCCCCCACACCACGCCCTGTTGGAAGGCAGCTGCGTCCCCGAGGAGGCCTGCATGGAGTGCACTGGAGAGGACAGAGCCCGGCACCAGGTAAGAGCCCTGCCCCTCACCTCCGGCTCGGCCTCCTCCAACTCTTGCCGTAGTGTTGACGCTTCAGGGGACTGCTGGGGGCTTGGAGCTAGTCCTGCACGGTGGCTTTGGAGCCCATAGATCTTGGGTCTGTCATATGTTAGCTGTGAGATCACACACCGAAGTGTTACGGTCACATTATTACTATTATTTTCATTATCATACCTACCTACATAGAACGATACAGGCAGTAAAGGGAAATAATGCATTAGGTGGTGGTCCCTGCCATGACTGAGATATCCTGTGGGTCCTGATTATGCCAGCCACTATCTATTCATTTTCTTCCTGTTTTTCAAAGGCATCTTTTGCAAAAGTGACTTGTGGCTGAGCAAGCTTAAAGGACTCCAGCTTAACAGAGTTAAGCCAATTCTTTCATTGCACCACGATTTAGCACTTTTACTGTACTAATGCACATTGCACATATTTAAGAAGAGTATTGTTACTTCTGCTACCTATTTGACCATGGCACGTGCCTGTATATGATTCCTTTGTGGTAGAATTCTACAGACTATACTAGGGTATACTACGTTACTCATATACTCACAAGAACTCTATGAAGAACTGAGGCTTAAAGAGTCAGTGATCTGCCTGTGGATAGTCCGTAAGAGATGGAGTTGGATGCCGGACTGAGAATTTGAAGTCCCCCTGAGCAGAAGATCTTGCTCTTTCTAGCATAAACAACCACTGCCCTGTGCTGTATCTTCTTTGGGTGGATTTGCTTGGGGTTTACTGGGCTGTCAATACTTTCAGCTTTTTCAGAGTTAATGAAGTGCTCTGAAAGGGTCTACAGTGGCAGTCTCCTCTCCCACATGGGTCCATGTATATCTTGGGGTCTCTCTTTGTGCAGACCTCTCTGTGCTTCTCCCCACCAGTGACACTACCGAGCACAGCATGGTGGATGTAGGAGACTGTGTGGCTTCTAGGAAGGAAAATGTTCCACGAGTGTGGGCCACACTCAAGACCTGGCATTTCTGGTGTCACCATGGGGACCTCTGTCACTTAGTGGGTGACGCTGGTGGTTTACGCTTGCATTTAATTACAACTGGGAGAGCTGGTGGTAAGGCCAGCCCGCCAATCCACAGAGCAGAATGATGGGAATGACAGCTCCTGTCACTCCATTATTCGTGCCCGACCGAGTAAGCCAGGAGACAGGGCATTTTACTTGCAGCTCCCCAAGATCTGAGAATCACACCTCCGAGGTGAGAAGATGGAGGTGCAGATGGCCCGCAGTGACAAGGCTGGGATAGCTGCTCATAGCACTAGCTCCCCGAGTGTCCTGGCTCGTGTGACCTCAGTCAGTGGAGCCGAGATCGGAACTCTGGGTGAGCTGGATGTTCTGTCAGTGCCAGCATCTGCTGTTGGGTCGTATCTGCTCCGCTGTCGCTGTGGGGAGTCACCCTGGTGCCCCACTTGTTCTTACTGTGGGATAGCTGGGCTGGGAGGGATGCCAGCCAAACTGCACTGCACATTTCAAGTTGCCAAATTAAATGATAGCCTGTACCATAGTGTTCCCCAAATGAGGCGATGGAGCCCCACTTTCCCCTCCTGATTTGTGGTTCTCTGGTCTCCTGCAGGGCTCAAGCACTGTGTGGGGTTGGCATAGGGTGCCAGCGCCCAGGTCATTCCAGGCCGACTTCACCTCTGGTCGTGAAGTGCTCCCATTCAGAGTGAGGCGGAAAGGGTCTCTGCCCTGTTTCTTGGCGTTCTGCGAGGAAACGTGAGCTTATTTGCAAGGTGCTTCTGGCCTGGAGGGTGTCAGGCGTCTGTCGTGCCCAGAAAGCGGGAAGCTTGTGAATTTTACCTTAGTGTCTTCAAGTCTCCAACGCCGTCCCTGGCCTCTTTGGCTCTGCTTCTCCTTTTTGCTGCTCTCCTCATGCTCAGCCCAGCACATTCGAAAAGGCATTCAAGTTGTACAAGGAATCCGTCCAAATAGCGCAATACTCTGGATGCTGGGATGCTCTTATAAATATAGTGAAAAAACTCAAGTAACATGAAATGAATCACAAACTTGGTAGAGAGCACAGCCAGTTTTAGTAATTCAGCAAACATAGTTTAAATGGTTGAAAACAAATATCTTATCCAGCCACCTGCATTTTCAACTTCTCTTTTCAAAGCAGAGACAGAACAAAAATCTAATATAAAGAACATTTTCATTAAATGCATTTTTAAACTGGAAAATAAAGCCCAGAAAGATCTTCCTTCAGGGAAATAAACCAGGGTATAAATCTATTGTCCTTCCTTTGGAGGGGCAAAATATTTACCAGTTTCCATAGCTCTTGTTTACCTCAGAGTGCACTCTGACGATGGAGCGCTCCCTTGGGCTCCGAGGGTCCCAGGGCCGCCAGCCGTGCCCGTCCTTGTGGGATCGGGTGGGCTTTACACTTCCGTCCGACCCTCTGCCGGGGGCCTGGGGCCGGCTCCTGATCTCTGTGGGTCTCTGGAGACCCCCCC